TAATAGTAGTAGTAGAGTTAGTTAGTAGTAGTATTTGTAGTAGGTAGTAGTAGTAGTAGTAGTAGTAGTAGTAGTAGTAGTAGTAGTGAGTATTGTTAATTATTATTATTATGTATTAAATAACCTGAAACTCACTTCGAAAATGCAATGAACAGTTACATACAAAATCTAATCCTGGTTTTTGACAACATTTGTGTTCATTATAACATTTTGTATACTTACGTATATTTGGAGTATAGAGAAAGTTATGTAATAAAAAATGCAGAAAAATAAATTCGATATTTCAACGGAAATGTATGCTTTTGGGTTCACTGATACAAAAAAAGATTTTCAAAACGCCCGTTCGTCTGTCTATCGTTTGTAAATTAATTCTTGGGATGTCTGTCATCATTTTTTTGGAACTTTTGGTGAAGCCCCTAGAATATTTTCAATTTTTTTTATAAATGACTCCGAATATTTCCTTTAAATTTCTTATAAGAATATATTAAAGTACACTTATAATGGTGGCATATGTCCAAATTTCAAAGTTGTCTAAATTTGCGAAAACCCTCCGTTTCAGATTTTTTCGCCGTCTTTACACAACTACAAAATTGAAGTTAGAGATTTTCCCTTCAAATAAAATTTGTAAGTAGTCCTTTAAGTAAGATAATGCTTATTGTTTTGAAAAAATAGTCGTTTTTGCGCAATATTAGGTGACATGAGCTCCAATAAAAAATTAAAAAATAAAAGAATTTCCCAAAAATGGCTCCAGATTTTTCAGCTTTGGTAGGGATAATTCTATTGGTTCTGTATAAGATGACATAAAAGTCATTTTGCTCTATTCGTTTGCTTCTTCAAAAATTAGAAAAATGACTTTCTTTAACTTCTCTCTCACGTCCTTAATATTTAAATTATCAGCAATTTGTATACAATATTCCAATTATGAGTTCATGTGCTTCAAGTGATGTGTTATAAAGTGTATCGAAACTCCAAAAGTTTTCTGTGAAAATGATATCAAATGTAGGCTGTTTCAGAAACTCTCAAACGCCATTTTTTCACATACGGTTCCCAATTTTTTCAAACTTTTTGAACGGATAATGCCAAATACGACACAAAAGTCATTCTGTTGTATTCATTATTTTTTTCAAAAATTACCCAAATGTATTTTTTTTAAATATCTCTCACGCCTTTAATATTCACATTTGTATACATTTTGTTATACGAATTGTATACATTCTGTTAAAAATGTCAAAGGGTTGCATAATATGTATTTTTATGTAGGCATAATATGTTTTTATTCTGTGTAGATGTAGTATTTAACAATAAGGAGTTTTAAATTCGTTGATGCAAAAAAATAAGATATTTTGATTAACATGATACTTTATAATATAGTCAACCAGGGCTAGAATTTTGGATTGTGGCTTTTCATTGGCTCATGAAAATTATGCCCTGTTCCCATATTAAAATATGTGCTAAATTTGAAAACCCATTATAAGTCTATAAAATAAATCACTGACACATTCAGATACAATAATAGGAATTTACAGTTTCTGCTTCAAAAGGCAATTTAGATATCCGTATTTCTAATGTGTTCTGGTAAGTCAAATTCACGTGCTGGTCGACAACATTCAGGTCGTAAGCTTCAAGTGAGGATGGTTAAATTTCGTTTTCTTAAAAAGGTTCTATTACTGGTACATTAATGGTACATTTTTCTTTAAAAAAGAAATTACAGAAAACAAATTTTGCTTATTGACATTTTATTCGATGAGTGAAAGTTGATATCAGAATCTCCAGGCAGAGTTGGGCAAACTACTTAAAGAAAGTAATTCAGATATAAAACACAAAATACTTGGTAGAAAATATTTGAGATAACAAATACAAATTACTTCCATAAAATCATTTTAGATACAAGATATAAAATAGCATTTTAAAATACTTTTGAAAGTACAAAATTCAACTAATAGTGATCTAGTTTCACAATTTATTCAAAACTTGGTTGTGTTTTACAATTGTAATCAATTGGACACATTTTCCTTCAAAACTACTAGTTTTTCAAACATTGTATCTCTAATGTTTCTTCTTGTAATTGCATATGATGAATGTCTTATTCCATTGACAGCGAATTTTGTAATAAGATCCTCAAACTTTGTTTGATAGTTTCCTCTTTCCTGCATATTGAAGAAACCAGATGTCAAGCTTGTTTGTTTAAACTATTTGGCATTAGTAGTATTATTCTCAGTGCTGCTCAATCAACACACCAAGAGGAATCCTCTGCAATGTGTAAAGAAATTATCATTTTTCCTAGTAAAAATAATAACTAGTGAAATGCATGGCCTATTGTAGACCATTGTGTGCATTTTAAAATGTATAATACATATTACTGCTTATAAATTTTTAGCTTTAAGTGTGTCTTAAATTTGGGGTTGCACTGCAGAAACTACTTATTATTGTCCGATTGGCAGGCTTACAAATTTCATATGACGCTTTCACCTTTACTCCTAATTCTTCAGTAATAGTGAAATGTTCCGTATAGAATAACACATTTTGATGATTTATCAATTTCCACACTCACATCGTGTGATTAGCTCTTTACACAGAGTGAGTACAAGCTTTTAACCAGCATGCACAATCATATTGTAGACAGGTAGTGATGCATTTGGCAATATAATATAATGTATGTGAACTGGTCTCCAAAATCCCCTAATTGCTGTCTCTACGTGTCTACGGAAATACATTTTCATTGATTAACAAAAATTTTGAGTCATCAAAAACTATTTTTTAAATACTGCCACAAAAATGAGAAAATGCTTTAAAAAATTCGTGTTATTGACGTTTGTGTTTTCTAGGTTTGTCTATAGATTTAAATTAAAATTTTCTAAGACGAATTAATAAAAAATGTTTTTATATTTTGAAAATATAAAATACAATCAGAAAGTATTTTCGATACAAATACAAAATACATGTTCAAATATGAGTTTTCGATACAAAATACAAATTACAAAAGTATCGAAAATACATATTTTAAATACAAGTATTTTTGTACTGCCCAACTGTATCTTCAGCCAAGTATTTGTAGAGGCCGCCAAACATTGAGAGGTACGATTTACGAGTTAGTACTTAACATAAATACATATCACAATGTGCTAATAATAAATAAAACAAATTTATTTGTTAGGTAGAATATTTTTCCGAAACAACTTTTATGTCTGAGGTTGTCTCGAGAATAGTTCTATCTTCGCAGTTCCCGTAATACCTTATATGCATCGAACATTTGCATCATTAGGACAGTATGATATTATTACAGTTAAATTATATGACAAGTGTGTTTAAATAGTACAATACACATCCAAATATTAATCTCAAACCTTTCAAAGATGATTGAAAATTTGACAATTTCATTACGTGTGATGTTTTTGGGGCTTGCCTTCTGAACACTTAATGATTTCTTGAGGATGCAGAACAATTTCTCACATATTGGAGGGCTGTATTTTTCTGGCTTTTCTGTACAAACTCGCTACTGAGTGGAATATAATCGGACTTTGAGAGATGATAAATACTGACTACAGCAACCACATAATTTTGTCGGTTTATTTTAGTCTGTATTTCAGTGGCAATGTATTTTCGGAGCTTTAATGAAAAATGAAATGCCGTGGTTATAATGATGAAACAAAGCCCGGCTTTGCCGTAACTAAATTGCCTTAAACAAAAAGATTTCTCTGGAATTTGGTTAAAAAAGACAAAAAATTAGAAATATGCCTCATACCAATGATTCAATACTTCTTCAATGCAAATTAAAATGCACTCCCTGAATATAAGCATTGAACTATCAAATCCAAGTAGAGATCAAATGAACAAGTACAATTAAATACTTATTAGTATGCATGTTTTCCCCATTCATGGAAGGTCTGCATCATCTTTTAACTCAAAGGTACAGTGGCAAAACCGGACTGATATTAATTGCTCCAGGTTTCAGTCTAATTTCTCGTTCCGGTTTTGCAGATGTTGAAGTTGCGTTTCCAAGCCTTTTCTTCCTCGAAACAAGAATGTAAAGGAAGATAGGATGAGCCATTGCACGTGAGGAGAAGCGCGCAAGACTTTTCCCTTAACATTATTGATAAAGAATTCCGTTTGGACTTTGAAGCACACAGTCCTATTGAAAGTATTTGTCATTGAATATTTCCAATTTAGCTCTTTCTGAATGTCAACGGTTTGTCCAGAGACTAATTACTAATCTTTTAGCTCTTTGTTGATCTTACTCTCACCATACCCTCTCTCATTCTCTCTCTCTCTCTCTCTCTCTCTCTCTCTCTTTCTCTCTTTCTCTCTCTCTCTCTCTCTCTCTCTCTCTCTCTCACACACACACACACACACACCAAAAACCCCTCGCACACACTTTTTGACTTTCCCTTGTAAATAATGTTAGAACAATATTAACGGGATTTTATTTAACAAAGGTAATGACGAATACCGATTCATAATTTTTCAAATCTTTTCTGCTTTCTCGTATATGTGTGAATACTTTCCATATGAACTGGTGAGAGACTGGTGAATCATTCCGAATATTCTCCGAGAATAGCTTAATGCCATTTGAACGATCTCGCTTTCTAAAATGCATATTAACAAAACATTAGCCTTCCTAGAGAAATTATTGGCATTTTAAAGTTCACCATACTTTTTTATCGGGTTGTTATTTATATCTAGGGGAATACATTATTCTCTTTTCATACACGTGAATGTTTACGAAAATACAAACTTAGTCTCTCACATACAATGCATATATTTTAAGGGGTTGTTCGAAAATTAGAATAAAAAGTAACCAAAACAATTTGTTTTTACTGGTATGTAAATAATATTGGTGTATGTATTATTATTATTATTATTATCATCATCATTATCACTGTTCATAAATTGCAAATGTTATTTCCTTTCCTCATTACATGTGTATCGCTTTTTTCAGAAAAGAAGATCTTTCATTACAAACTGAGAGCAGGCTTGCATTAGACTGTGCGGGAGAGGCTCACCTGCTGTGTGTGGCGACGCGCCAGCCAGTAGCGGTGCACCAGCCAGAGCAGCATGAGGAGGCCGCGGGCGTCGCCGGCGGCGGCACCACCGCACCCAGCGGCGCTCACCGTGTTCCCCATCGCAGGCACTTTACTCCAGCACTTCACCGCAGAGCACCATACCCCGTTACACGCACCGAGTATGCCTGCTGCGCTGCAGAGAGGTTCGCGACTAGACAATATTCGTATACCGCATCCAAGCGAAGTTTTGAACTCATTGTCGGCTACGGCCACACATTAGAAGCATTTGTTGATGAGATTTACTGCAACTGATCTACACTGGCAGTGGAAGCTTCACAAATCTTCTATTCAGTGAAGAATCGTTATCACTAAATTCAAAACTGTCGCAAAATAAAAAGTAAATTAAACTAAACACACACGCAATGTTTCACGCACTTATCTATATTTTCCACTCCGTAACGGCGAGAAACTCGTAATACACTCCGTCTCTTGCGATGCCACGCACGTAACGTTCATGTGTTATTTTATTGCGTCGAGATCTACGCACTCTGCTCACGCACGGCACCGCTTGCTGCATTCCCTTGGCCGGGGAGACCGAACCCTCCGCAGCGCCACTGCAGACTGCTGCAACAAGCCGACGCTGGGGGCGCTACCTCCACGGCCCCCTCCCAACGCTCGCGGCCCGCCTTTTTGCCTCGCAGGTTCCAGCTGGCCGTTTTTTGGCCGGCGGCTTCCGTCTTTGGACGACGAGTGTTGGCGGTGGAAGCCCTGCTGGGTGAGGGGCACGTGGTTGGGCTATTCGGCTGGTCTGCCGAGATGTGGAACGTAGGGAGAGACGAATCCGTCACGACGCTTTCACTGGGGTGATCCAACCGTGAGCATTCCTATCCAGGCGTAGGATTCAAATTGTTGTGCAGACTACTTTAATCGATTTCTCTCAATATTTTTTCTTTCCCTGCAGCTAGAAGTTTTGGCTTACAGGCAGTAAGGCTAATGCAAGAATCGAAACGCGGAAATTGAATCGGCCACTTAAGTTTTCCTTCGTGAAAGTCTTGACTCGTAATTCGCAGGCAGTGAGAGGCGTCCGAAACGAAGCGGGTTAGCCGGGCGTTCCAGACGAGTCCCGATGTGTCCTGGTGTCGATAGGCCCAGTGCGGACGCCCTGTTCCGGCCGCTGCCTTGAGGTTGCACGCAGCCACCGGCGGGTTGAGCGGACGCAAATGGCAGCGGCGGGAAAGGTCACCCGTAAACTGCGGAGCTGCCTGCCGCGCGCACTGGCGTCACAGACGCAGTAAGTCACGGGGCGACTTCCGTGACTGCTGGCGCGCGCGCACGGCTGGACTTCAAAACTTTTCCCTTTCTCGTGGACGCCCCGTCCACTAAACGCCCCTTCTCGCTCTCGCTCGCTAGAAAGTTCGCATTGCAGCTCGCGGTGGAAATTTTACTCCGCTGGGCTGACCAGGCGCAGTGATTTTCAAAATGTCTCACCTCTATCCGTAATTCATTGATTTGCTGATAGAAAGAGGGAGTAAATAATTCACTTCGCCCTTGACGTCACACGTGTTTCCTTATTAAATCGTTGGCAACTTTGCATGTGGTATCTGACATCTTAAAAGCATTGGTCATAGTTCTGAAATGGTTGATTTGCTTTGCGCCTCATCGGTCACTCACATTTGTCAATGCCTCACAAGCACCGGCGATCGACTGAATGGAAGCATTTCAGTTTCTTCAGGTTTTCACGGGATGCTTGTAATGGAAGAGTTAAGTTTCACGGTGAAAGTTATGTCAGCGATGATCGGATTTACTCAATGGGAAAACACAAACATTGTTTTAAGGATTTTCATATGGTAGTTCATTTGTTAGCAAGGGAAAGGAAGCGACAGCCTGATACACGTGTTAACAAAGTTCTCTCCAAGTGGTCTTTGCAGAAGTAAGGGTTAAATTTATTCTCTGCGTCAATTACAGCATAATGGACGCGTTCATCGAAGTTCACTGCACTAGTTCTTCACTGGACGATAACGATCCGACTGACACTCAGAACACAAGCACCTGTACTCCAGATTTGTTCACAAGTCTCTTCTAGTAATTGACGTTCAAGCTACCACCTTCCTTCTGTGTTACTAATGGTTAATGCATCTTCCTTGTAGACATCGAGCTTCATGCCCTAATTTGGATCCTGCAAGATACTACTGCGACACATGATGCGTTGATTTCTCGCCAAGAAGCCCTGAAAGCAGAAACAATCAGTTTCAATATATTTATAGTAGAATTATATAAACAACATTTATTACAGAGTGTCACTATATTGGAAAAACTGTTTACAAAATACCATATGAAATGTATTACAATAATTTTTGAAAATTTAAATCAAAACCAAACTGTTAAGAAAGCTAACATAACTAAACTAAACTGAACTAAAAGTGAACGAAAACATCTATTCTGCACTCCAAAACCACGAGGCAAGTCCAATGCCTATTGCATTTTTTTACAGGCACCCCAATTTACGCACACGTCAATATTTTGAACTCTCTTTTACCTAATAATACAACTACTAATAATAATCGCTCCAATTAAAGTTTAAGAATAGTACACCAGAGTAAATAACATCAAACTTGGGTAATTAATTCAGGATACATCATACTGCACCTGAGAAACGCAGCCTTATTTATACATTTATGCAAGGAGGTACTGGTTAATTACATTCATAAGTTCAAAAACTGCTTTTCAGATAACCTGACAGAGGCACGTCAACACTAACTTGCTGCTTACAATTTTACATTGTAGTTTATGAATAGAATGAAGTAAAGAATCGTTAAACATATTACATTACATGAATATACGAGGGATAGTATTGGTTGCAGCCGGCTAACTGAATAAAAGAGACAAGACTTTTGAGAAGTAACTTCAAATATTCTCTGATTGAAACGAGTCCAGTTCGACGCCCAACGAACCGATTCTACAAAGTCTAAACAATACAAGGAATCCGTAAGTAAGAAAGCATTTTAGTGAACGTAAAACGTACTGAAACGACGTGTGAGTCATCGACATCCACCACTGAAAGCGAAGTGGTCCTGCAGGATTCTATCCTTCGAATCATCCACACTTCACTTCAACCGACCGGTGAAATCACGCGTTTTGAAAACCTACTGGAGGCGTCCGAAATACACCTCGAACCGTGAGTACTAGAACGAACTCCGCTCCGAGCGAAGTCGTGGCCCGCTGGCGTGCGAGAGCCAACTGCCCGCGGTCCGGCACCGCGGCCGGCGGCCTCCGTCACGGCCCGGAGGCTGTGGCCGCGCAGCGGGAACGGGCGCACGGCTGGTTATGGGGCTGGTCTTGGATGTGGTTATGCACGTGGGTGTGACGGTGGTACATATGGTTATGGAAGTGTGTATAATGGAGAGACTAGGCTCGGTGCTGCGTTTACAGGAGACATGGATGGTGATGGCAAAATAGTTATGCTGCTTACAATGGCAAATGAGTGGTGGCGCAGTGATTAGAAAGACAACAAGGAAAGTGTTGGTAAGAGCTGTTGGCTGTTTTCATGGAGCGACAATGTGACTTTCGCTCAGTAGAAGAAGCAGTACTAGGTGCAGTGGCTGCGGTAGCGCCTTTTTTTGATGTTGTGGCGCAATCAGTGGCGAGAACTCAATCTTTGGAGAAGTGGTGATGGTGGCAGCACCATTGCAATGCGCCAGCGGTTGCGGAACAAAGGTGAGCGAGTGAGTATTGACTACCACCGTGCCAACTAGTTCCCTGAGAGTTCTATGAGTAATATTTCAGGATGTGGAGGAGTGTGAAATATTCCGTCTTTACGTATCGCTCTCAGTGGGGCTCGGATGCAGCCTGGAAAAGTTCTAAGCTACACACTTCCCGACATGTGTTGTGGTGTAGTACAAGTAAAGGGCGGCAATACAGGGGAGACAAATATGAGGAAGGAAAGACTGCGCGCGTTCCTGGGTTACTTTATTACTGCTCCGGTATTTACCTGGTATTGATCAGAAAACTACCAGAGTAACTGGCCACTAATATTCGCCAGGCTGTAAATTCGTCCTAGCTACATACTTAGCGCGCTGGAGGGGTAACGGTAACCTACGTACAGACGCTGGAGGGGTAACAGTTGTTCCTGCTGAGCTATCGCAGCCGGTGAGCAGAATAAGAGCACCCGCGGCGCCACAGGAGGTGGAGACCGCTGCTCACGGGCGCCGATAGCCGGCGCCTCCTGGCCGGCCGACCGAGCGCCTGCGCGTGCACCCTAGAAAGGCGGCCGCGAGACGAACCTCCGCCCCACCCCGCTCCGCTGCTCACGGCTTCGTCCAGCACCGACTCAGACACTCGTGGCCGCTTCGCCAGGCACCTGCTCCTGCTCGAGAAGAAGGCGCTGGCCTCTTCACCATCCCGCCGTTTTCATTTTCTCGTATACGGAGTAATATGAATGTAGTGACAAGAATGTTATGTAATGCTGCGGTAAGAAAACGGGAGAAGTTTTTATATAAAAACTCGTATTGTGGAGCTCTTGTACATAAAAACGGGAACATCATCTAAAATGTAGGATGTTGATACTTCAAAAGTATTGAATATTTGTTTGTTTTTTTGTTTTTCAAAAGTCAGTCCATCTGCCAGTCTGTCGTCTGTGAACAACACTAGGGCCTAAACTATACATAAGAGTTCTTCCAAACTGAAAAACTCCTGTCGATCTCGCCTCACACAAACAACTGCGATTTTGAAAAACATTCACTGATTTCTGGGGGGTTCTTTACATAAAGCCCTTGCGTCATTTTCAAAAATTTCTCAAAATGGCTCCAATTTTTTCTTTAAATCTTTTGTAAGAATAAAGTAAAATGAACTTATAATGGTGGTACAAGTTATTTTTTCACTGTTAACTCTGAATTTTTGAAAATTTCAAAAGTATCCATTTTTTCTGTGAAATTGAGCTCAAATTTCAGATTTTTCAGAAAAGCTCAAACGCTATTTTCTCAAAAACAGCTCCAAAATTTTCTTGAAACGTTCTGTAATTAATAAGGATAAAAAGAAAACGGTGAGGAAAAGGTCGTTTATCAGAAAGAAGAGTCATCAGTTTCGCAAATTAGAAAATAATAAGAATTAATAAATATAAATTTGGAGGCATATTGTCGATTAAATTAGTAAATAAGACGAGAAGGGTACAGTTCAATGGAACAGATTGTAAAATATGTATTGATAGCACTAGTGACTTGTTAAAAGGCTTCGGAATTAATTAAAATAAGTCCAAAAAAGAAGCATAAACCGCTTTTTGTCTTGTAATTTAAAAATCTACCCTTGATGACCCTATTCTATCTCTGTTCAATAGAAGCGTCTAATTTGTTCAAGATATTCCCGAGTACTCTCTCGCCGTTTTCTATTTATCCTTATTTCAACTTTATTTACTTTTTTCGTATTTTATCCTTTATATTGTTTTTATCATCTATGTCAAAATGCATATAATGCATGTACTTTATAGTTTATACTTTCATTATACTTTCTTTAGTATCATTAATGCGCCCTTGTGCGCTTATTTAGTTTGTCACATAACAGATTAATTTTCACCCCACCTACTTCTAACACTACTGGCGCTGCCAACATCCATCCTGCCGCCGTTTATAACTATACCGTTGCGCTCGACACCGCCCTTTGATATCGCCATCGCAACTTACTCCTGCAACGTTGTGCTAGCCTTGATTAAGCCATGTCACCTCCGTCTTCGTTTCAGCCTCAACTTCCTGCCCCGACTTTATCTCTTGCTTTCCAACTGATCTTCCTTCTCGATATCGAAGAAAATTCTTCACTTTCATGTGAAAGATCTGGTGATGACTCAGCTATTTAAGGCCGATAATCGATTAAATATAAAACATTGATATTTGCATTAGCACTGATAATTCTTGGCCTTCATTGTCGCCGACACCGTCTACGTCACTGTGATGATTGAAACTAAGACTATCGCCAAACCGTTCCCAAAATTGCCGCTGAACTGTTAACAAGTATACAATGATAAGAATTATTTTTTAAATATTTTTTATGTCATCACTTTTTCATAACCTTTATTAACCCTTCCTTCACTTTCGGGTCTTATCCTTTTACCATTCACGCCTTCATTGTGCCTCCATTTCTACCCCTCCTGCTCCATGTGCTCCTCTGTCTCCGACGTCGCCTACGACACTTCCCCAGACATTAACTTCTCCGGCTAACAAAAGCTGCTAATTGATTACAGAAGTTTGTGAAAACGACATCAAATTGAATTGCTGACCTCCACCTCCACCACTGCTCCCTCTTCTACCATCGTCACCAGCATCATTACCGCTAACACCATCTGCTTCCTCTCCCCCACCTGTCGCGTCCATCATTATCTCCGAGCTCTATTCATCCCTCTTCCTTGATCATGACTTTCATTCTGCTATTATCTTTACCCCAGTCAGTGTTGCCTTCTCACTCCCACCGCGTACTTCGTCTCCGTTTCTATCTCCGAGTTCTGTGCTTCTTTCTAATGCCTCCCCTCTACCTCTAGCTGATCAATCACCGTCGTCTTCTCTCTCTCCGCCTTCGTCTCTATTTCCTTTCTTCTTCTCCCTCCTTCACTTTGCCTCTACCTCCATCCTAACCATTCTGATTCCATTGAGGGTGTCTTCGCTGTGACACTTGTCGTTCCATTCATTCCCTCGTCCTTTGCTCCACATCTGCCACAATACAAGAACAGTAACCTAACAAACGAGACACGGACCGTGCACGTTATTTCCTTCCTCTTCCTTGTCCTATCCGCACACCCTTACTTTCACACACTTAATCAACAAACCCTACACTTCCACACCTGTTGGGAGGTCATTCGGAAGTCATAAAGCTTGTCGCAGCAGAGGGGGTGCCACCCTAGTGAGAGATACCTGGTTGGGGAAACTACCAGGAAGCTGACGTACGTCGTTGCCGGAAGTCGCCATCCAGCGGGGGAAGTCAATTAAATCCACGTCCGCCTCCCTCTCCTCCGTTTCTGCGCGTGGCATAAGAGTCGGCGCGGGGCCGAGCAGCTGACGCGCGAAGCGAGGCGCGCCTGTCTGGCACTACCTAGGTACAAATCCGAAATTTCGGATAATCCAAACAAAATTAGTATGGAGGAAAAAACAAAATAAATAAAATGCGCTAGTTGTGTAAAAAAAGAATTTTATAATTACTGTAGAACTGAACAACTAATTAATAAAATACAAGTCGAAATGAAAGTATATT